GGAGGAAGGAAATGTTGCATCTCCCCACCCCCACCTTACATTTAATCAGGATTTTTAAACTGTTTTAAACCACATGTTTAGACTCTCTTTAGAACTGCATGTTTAATCAGTGTTTGCAGCCGGGAGCAGGTGGGGAAGAAGGAAAGATGTTGCTTTTAGATATTAGGCACTAATATAGACCCTGCCATTATTTAAGACCTTGTGGATCAAGTTGTGCATTATTTCCCTTTGGATGTAGTGTAAACTCTTGAGTTCAGTACCATGGACAGCAGTGGCAAAGCCCCCTACCGTGTGTGATCAAACCTGCTTTATTATATAGTAAAAGTCCATGTCTTTGCAAGTTGTGTTGCCATTTCCTTCCCTTTCAGTGTGCTTTGCCAATGCAAGAGGGTAGGATCTGAAAGCTGAGGAGGAGATAATGAGCTATACTTATGAGTGTGTTGCAGTTCTCCTTGAAGAGCCAGTATGGTGTAGTGGTTAAGAGCGGTAGGCTTGTAATCTGGTGAACCAGGTTCACTTCCCCGCTCCTCCACATGCAGCTGCTGGGTGACCTTGGGCTAGTAACACTTCTCTGAAGTCTCTCAGCCCCACTCACCTTACAGAGTGTTTGTTGTGGGGGAGGAAGGGAAAGGAGATTGTTAGCCGCTTTGAGACTCCTTAGGATAGGGACAAAGCGGGATATCAAATCCAAACTCTTCTTGAAGAAAGCTTTCCCAATGCCCTTTTGCCTAGAAAATGCTTATGGGATAGCCAGATAGAATATGGGATGCAGAAAATACATATGGGATATCTGTGGATTATCCCTATCCCTACTTAAAGGTGTAAGGAATGGTTTCTTGGTAGGCTGATCAAATACTGCAGTTGCTGCATATGATAGGGAGCAGTTCAGTCTTGTCCCCTCTGACTGGAAATAACTCTACAGTTTTCAGACTAGCATCTTTTGCCAGCTGAACCTGGAGATGTCAGAAACTGAACCTGGGACCTTCTGCATGTGAAGCATGTTCTCTACCATTGACACCACATGTCTTCCTTTCTTCTGTTGTTTAGTAACCTTTGGACTGCTTTCTCAGATTTGACTCTTCACTTGACCTTGATTTTCTGCATATATGAGTTATGGGTTCAGGTGGCCAATTACGGCACGCTTCCACATACTCATTTCCACAGCTGGTAGACCATTTGGTGACCATTCTGCTGCTTAAATACGATTTAATTGTTCAGCGTAAGCATCACTTCTACTATATCTGAGAGGCATGCATCTTTTCAGTACAGCGAAATATTATACACGTAACAAAAATCTGAGTAGCATCCCACCATGTGTTTCTCCTAAATGCACCTTAATTTACATTTTTAACGTTCTTCATCTTCATCCTGCAAATGAAACGCTATTTCTCATCCATTACCCCTGTTAAAGCCAACTCCAATGACTTGCATAGTTCTACGATTTATGAAAGCCTCTTTGACAAATGGCTCTGCTTTGATAAACCTTGGGGAATGCTAATTAAAAAGCAATAACTTCTTACAGCTCTCAGCCAGCAGGGGTACGTACAGTAATAGCGAACTCCATGTTTGCTCAAATAATTGTAGCCGTCTCATCTAGTAATTTTCCTAATCAAAGCACAAATAGTATGGAGTCTGCTTCCTGGGAAAGGGCACGGTGCTTCAGACACATCCATCATAAAAAACATTTTGATCTCCTTGAGCATAGTAAACAGCTTGAATTCAGCAGGAAGCTCAGTGTGCTCCTTTCCTTCCTTAAAAATGCATGAAGTGCTTGATTAATGGTTCTGTTTCACAGATGAGCAGGAAGCAAGTTTTTCTTTGGGATCAATGTTGCAAAGATGTTGACAATCCTGTAACACTGTTAGCCCTGCTTACTAAAATATAACTGTATCAAATAGGCATTCTACAGTATAGTAACTACAGTGGAACCTCGGTTTTCGAACATAATCCGTTCTGGACGACCGTTCGACTTCCAAAACGTTCGAAAACCGAGGCGCAATGGGCGGTCAGCAAAATCAATTGAGAAAAATGAGAAGCTGTTCAACTTCTAAGGCACGTTCGAAAATGGAAGCATTTCCTTCCGGGTTTTCAGCATTCAGCTTCCGAAACATTCGGCAACCAAGATGTTTGAAAACCGAGGTTCTACTGTATTAACATTTGTACAACATTCTACATACGAGAATTATAACTTACCTGGTTTAAGGCTGAAACAAGTTGAAAACATTGTATTGTACTGTATTATATCTATATTCTGAAAATATATTCTGCTGACTAAGATAAAATATAAAAACCCTCAAACTTAAGGCTGATTAAAGCATAGCTGCTGAGATGGTATAGTCCTCACACACAATTGTGCTAAGTTAAATGTTACCAATTGGGAGAATGCACAATTTTAATGTGAGCTTGCAAAAATGCAACTGGCACACAAGAAATCTGAAGTCGCAGAGCCATGTGACAGAAGTGTATCACCTCAGAAGCTGCATGTTTGGCTTGGCCATCAGTTGGGAAGAAAGACATTGTGTGTATTCAAAATTAATATATTAGTGAAAGCATAATACAAAACGTATTATATGAGGAACAACTGCAAAAAAAATGAGTACAATTAGTCAAAACTGCCGACAAAAATATGTTCAGTAGAAGAAATTGGCACCCAAATGTTGGTGGATTTTCATGTGCTTTTAAAATATGCAAATTACTGTAGAAATCTGGAAAACTGAATTTAAGATTGGAAAAATGAAGAACTGAGAGAACCAAAATCACAGTTCCTGCCACCCCTATCACATGACAGCTTTCTCGGTTCAAATGTCCATGCCAGCAGATGGGCACCCAGAGGTGGAGGGTAGTGGTGGGGCCAGTAGCATGCCTGACACTAGGGGCAGAGATAGAAGCACAGCTCACCTTTCCTGTGGTGCCTTTTTCATAAGAAGCTACTTTATATTGAGTCAGACCTTTGCTCCATCTAGTTCAGTATTTTCTATGCTGATTGGCAGTGGCTCCCCAGGGTTTCAGACAGGGGAGATTCCCAGCCTTATCTGGAGATTCTTGGGGACAGAACCTTGGACCTTCTCATGCAAAGCAGATGCTCTACCATTGAACTACAACTCTTCCCTTTCATGCAGCTCGCATGTGAAAGGGGCACATGTGTCAGTACTCAGGGTCTCTTCTAGGCAGGTAACTGGAGGAAGAGGGCAGAGAGAAGGGTGTGGTCCATTGCAGGTGAAGTGAAGAGTAAGACTCAAGAGCAGAGGCAGGTAAGCAGTCCCAATGAGGCCGCAGGTCATGCTCCTAAGCAGGCAAACATCAGAAGGGTCAGAGGCAGGAGAAAAGTTTTACAGGAGTCATGATCTCCTAGGCATCAAGAACCGAGAGCAGGTGTGTAATCAGAGGCCTCATATTCAAACCACAGAGAGAAGAGGAAGCAATTAGGATCAGGAGCCCAATGCATAAAGTTTTAACCCTGCACCAAGGTAGCAACAGAAATTCCCTCCCAAAGCTGTGATTCCTCAAGAAGAGAAGCTCCCTTGATGGCACTAGATACAGCAATTCTACCTCATGGCAGAGGACAAATCATGATGTTGGGAGTGGCTGCCTGGCACTGTTTTGCCAGTTTGGGGTTTTTAAAGGTTTTAATGCATTTGCTTTTTGCTCAACATTTGACAAGTTGATTTTTTGAATATATAATACAATTGCTGATGACAGGCAACAATGTTCTCATTGCAAATGATTTAAGCATCAGAGCTGTAAGTTTTGCCATATGCCACCAGGTAGCCTCAACAAGCTACACTACTTTATTCTTAGAGGTGATTACAACAACACAGCAGTTTGTATCAGCCCATGTGGCTGTGAACAATAGCCTCCTACTGCTCCCAGTAGTGAAGTCCTTGTAAGTTTCATAGCACTTAAACCATTCTGTACACATACAGTTGACTTCACTTGTCTCCATTTCCCTTTCATTTACTTCCCTTGTGTAGTTCCCGCAGAGCTGGAAGGCTTTAACTATATTCAAACAGATTTATGGATGATAGCTTATATTAGCTTACTGCCCATGAATGAATAGACTTACAGTGGAGATCCAAATCATAAAAACCAAGAAAGCCTGGAAATGTTTGTTACAAACTACTCTTTAAATGAAAAACAAACAATCGGTACTTAGCAATATGTTATATGGTATGGAAGACAGGATGGAAACTGTCCAGACTGTTCAGTTCTGAGCAGATAATGCGACAAGATCAGCTGAAGTGAGAGAGTGCAAGACCAAGCAGGTCCAGAAACTGGGAGTGGTTCCACAATCACGGAAAGGGGATAGGAAGAAAGGGGGCAGGATATGGCAAATGTGGCTATTTAAAAAAAAAACTCCTAAAGAGTCAGAGGTAGAAGGTACAAGAAAGGCCCCTCTTTCTAGGCAGGTGGCAAGCAAAACATATATGGATGTGTTTGAAGATCATGCTGCAGACTGCGGGTGTAACACAGGCTGTGTCCTTCCCAAGGTCATGGAGCCTTCTTAAGCCAGCTAAGGAGGTTGAGGCCTTAGGACTTACAGGTGGCAAGAGGATACCACATATGGCATGGATACTTTGCTGAAAAGAGAAGAATCCACACTGAAATATATTTATTATTATAGGTTTGTGGGGGTGGGGTTCAGTGTGTGAGCCCGTTCCAAGCCTGTGATCCAGTAACTATGAGTTAGAATCATCAAATAGAAACCAGGGGAACTATTCATACTACTTTTTTTAGTATGGCCTTGGTTTGCCAGTTAAGTACTGGCATTTACATTAGAAAGATGGTGTCCTGTTGCCATAGAGACAAATGGGAGTATCCTCCCCCCCTCAGTTGGAAGCAACATCACTTTGTAAGGAAGAACAGTAGCCAGAGGTTTTGTGTGTGTGAAGGTTTTTGGCTGGTTCTGGAAGCTGGAGACACAAGGGCATGTCTTAGCATCAAAGAACTGTAGAGTTGGAAGGGACCATCTAGTCCAAGTCCCCGCAATACATAATTTTCTTTGCCCAGCGTGGGTCTCAAACCCCCAACCCTGAGATTAAGAGTCTCATGCTCCACCCGACTCAGCTGTGGCTAGATCATTCCATTTGTTCTGTGTTTATGCTGTTGGGAGGGGAGAAAAATGTGCGGGTTCCACATTTTACTAGGTTAGCCCAACTGTGATGTGAGCACAACTGACACGCTGGGTCACTGCTTCCCTTCAAAAAGGAGCAAAAAAATTGAAACCAGGACCTATTTAAGCCACTGTTCATTTTACCTTTCAAATATCCTCTTTTCCTGCCTGACATCTTCTCTGTGTGAATGTAGCCTTTGGCCTAGTACCATCTGCAGGGAAGACTGATATTATTAGACAGCTCAGCAGGGGATGGCAACACTTTCTACAGGGGCATTTGCTGTGAAATTTGTTCCACCAACAAAATGATGCATTTATTTTCCCTGGCATCGGTCTTATTTTCTTTTGTGTTCTGGGGAATATTCCCAGGGAACATTCCCTTTAAGGGGAAGTCATTGACTTTTACTGAGAGGCCATACGTGTGATTGTGCTGAAGCATGCCAATTCTCCAATATCTGCCTTATGGTCTGGGTTATCATTTATCTCTGCTTCTGCCCTCCAGCACAACAATCTCTCAAAATACCATAATGTTAAGGACAGCAGCAATGCCTGTGGTTTCAAATGGCTGACACGTTCTCAAGATATTTGCAGGGTTAGCCAAAGTGGTACATTGCAAGTGTTTCTAGGCTCTTTGCAGCCCAACCAGCACAGCCAGTGGTCAGGGATGATTGACATTATAGTCATGTCTGAAGGGCCTTGTGCTAGATCTGCTTTTAGGGAATCCACTGGTGCCCGAATGAATTTTTCATTTACCCTAGAAGCATATAGTAGATGCTCTGAGCAGCTTTTCAGTGTTAAAGCAAGGAGTGGGAAGGGAGCTGTGTGCCTGTTTGCTTTTTGGTAACAGTTTTTCAGTGGATTTTGTTAAGAGTCCTTTAAATTCTGCACAAGAATGTGGTAGGACATAAAGAGCTGCAGACTGAAGCAGGATGGGATGGAGTAGGGTAGATTCATTCATCCCTACCCACCACTGAAGTCCTGTGGAAAATCACTCTTCTGAAGCAGCTATTTGCATTGGTGCCAATGGAGGATACCCTCCCCATACCTCAGGACCGCAGGTGGAGTTAAATCACATTCCATGACTGCTGAAGTAGCCATAATAATCAGCTCCCACTGCCAGTAGCTGGTGCTATTTGTCTTTGGAAAAACTGATATATTAAATGCAAAAACCAAGTTGACCCTGACTAAGTTGACCCTGAATTTGACTGCTTAATGATGCATCTTTGCACTTGCATTAAACAGATGTACAACAAATGGTGTCTATTCAACTTCATTCCTGAGATATTAGATAATTTAAGTATGGGGCCTAAATTAATGCAATGGCTCTTTAATGAATGATACAGTGACTGGCTAATCTAAAGATGATATTGCAGGATCAGGCCTAGGGCTATGAATATCCATATTAGAACTCTAGTATCAAAACAGAATTACCTTTCTAATTCAAGCTAGTAAACTCTTTTAATGGAAAGATCACAGCGCTAAAGTTTGCTAATGATAACGTCTTTCATTTATTGTATATCATCTGCCCTTTGGTTTAACAAGCCTAGATGGTATCTGTCAGTCACAAGCATGACCTCAGTAAGGACAGGTTTCTAAATCTAGTAATGTCAGATAGCGATGGCAGTTAGCTAGAGGCGCTTCACTCTGAAGAAGCAAATGCACTTTCTCCACATCAGGGACTTCTAAAGCTGTCTCTGTATAATTAATTTTAAAAGCAATGCCAGTCATCAGCAAAGCTGTAACAATATTTTTAAAGGCCTAGTTTCTGGTTGACAAGAAGAAATTAAATGAAAACACCGTCTTGCCACAGCTGCACCAATTTGGTCGCAGTGGCTACATATGCACCTTACAAACACACTAATTTGGAAACAGAATTATTGGGAGGTAATACTCGAGCTAGAGTCATTGAAATCAATGAACTTAAGTTAACAAATGATATTATCTGCTACAAAATGTTTTACTTCTTACATTGCTTCAAGCCACAAACCAGCAAAAGACCTAAAATTATGACACCACTGAAACCCCAAAGTAGACACTGTTTTAAAATTTTCTTACTCGCTTTTCAAGACAGTGAGCATTATCAATTATGAATTCCCTGAAATTAAATAAAATTATATATTTATCTACAAAGGCAGACACACTTCAGTACGCATTTTTGATAGATACATTCATTTGGATTGGATTGGATTGAGACTGTTGTGTAAACCATCTCGGGAGAGCTTTTTTGAAGTGTGGAATATAAATCAAATAGACAGAAGCCAAAAATAAAACCCCCAAAGTTCAAATGGGTTATTTAATGCAGGAACCTTTCAGTGAATAAGAGATAAATCTACCTGTGGCAGCAGGTAGGTCACCAGGACTACAGTTCTCATCCTCCCTGATCATTGGCCATGCTGGTTGGGGCTGATAGAAATTCAACACCATCCAGAGGGACACAGGTTAGACACTCCTGGTCTATGAGATATGGGCCAAGTGTTAAGGCTGTGATTCTATACCCAGTAACCTGGGAGAATCTCACTGAAACTCATGTGAGAAGACCTGCACAGGATCAGTGGCAGCTCCACCTGCGCTAGGTGTCCTCACTAGGCAGTCTTCTGTGGCTGCTGGCCATTTGCTTGCCTCCAACCCACATGCCCAGAGGTAAGGTAAGTTTGGACAACTGCTCATTTCCCTTGTTCCCAACACTGCTTACTTGGAGACGACAGACAAACTTAGGAGGTTGGCAGCAGGGGACCTGCTAATACTTGAGTCTTGAGTCTTGTCATTGCAGTCTTTGTATTGCAATTGAATGTGATGGATTTCATTTTACATTATTGCCAGCTGATGAAGAATTATCATTGAAACAGTTCATTATCCTGGAAGAACTGTTCTGTCTGCTGCTGTGCTTGGAGCACCCTATTGCTACATTTGGAGCACCCATCATCTCACATTTGCAGGATATTGACTCTGGAAAGGCTTTCTGCCTCCATTTCAATGATCTTTAACAGTGACTTGCCACTCTTACTATCCCTGTTCATGGAACATTTATTTGTTGTTTATTAGGTTGTGACTCCATGCACATATTGTATACCTTCTGTTTATGATTTTTGACACAATATAGTGTTATAAAAATATTGTGAGTATATTATTAGCCGACATGTTGCTCGTTGTTCTTTAGAATGTTCTGTTTTGCAACACAGGGGATTTTCTTTGTTGTGTAATACTTGAGTCTTCGCAAGTACCTGGTGATACCAACCCATGGTGCCAGTGCTGGATTGTGCTGTGAATGGACTAATGTCTAAATGCAGGTTTTAATGTCACTGAGGCAACTGACACATTGTGGGAAATCACTGTAAAGTGTTAAAGAAGAAAATGTTTGTGAAGGACATATAATCTATGGCCCAAATATAAGCCGCACCCGCAAATAAGCCACACCTTTAAAATTCAAGGAGGTGGGGGAGACAATACCCGAATATAAGCCACTTCCTTAAAACTGGGTTACAGGCTGAAAATCGCTGCGGTTGGTAGACTTTTAACTCTGAGCCAATTTAAGCCTTTGATCTTGCAAGCCCGCAAAAGTTACCATTGTTGTTGTTGTTGTTGTTTAGTCATTTGGTCGTGTCCGACTCTTCGTGACCCCATGGACCAGAGCACGCCAGGCACTCCTGTCTTCCACTGCCTCCCGCAGTTTGGTCAGTTACCATACATTTGCTAAAGTTACCATACATTTGCTAAAATCGCAAACCACTATTCAATTGCTACAATCCGCAGGCACTCAAGCTCGCAAATCAGCAATAAAACATTTTTTTCTTCTGTATGTAAAAGTGTGGCTTTTATTCGGGCCAGTGCGGTACTTCCTACACTAAACTAGCCAATGACCACAGTAAATTGCCATATTTTTACATCTATAAGACGCCCCCATGTATAAGACACCCCTATTTTGGGAGACTCAGATTTAAGAAACTGGGGATGTATCCATGTATAGAGGGATGCGGGTGGCGCTGTGGGTAAAACCTCAGCGCCTAGGACTTGCCGATCGCATGGTCGGCGGTTCGAATCCCCGCGGCGGGGTGCGCTCCCGTTGTTCAGTCCCAGCGCCTGCCAACCTAGCAGTTCGAAAGCATCCCCGGGTGCAAGTAGATAAATAGGGACCGCTTACCAGCGGGAAGGTAAACAGCGTTCCGTGTGCTGCGCTGGCTCGCCAGATGCAGCTTGTCACGCTGGCCACGTGACCCGGAAGTGTCTGCGGACAGCGCTGGCTCCCGCCTATAGAGTGAGATGAGCGCACAACCCTAGAGTCTGGCAAGACTGGCCTGTACGGGCAGGGGTACCTTTACCTTTACCTTTTTATCCATGTATAAGATGCCCACCAATTTTTGACATTATTTTTAGGGGGGGGAACCTTGTCTTATACGCGGAAAAATACAGTAATTAATTCCTTCGTTTGTTTGTTCACTCATCCTATCTGCAGTTCCTACAATGAGAACTTAACTGTTCATTCTTTGATTCCCTTGCCTTTCCCTTCCACCTCTGTCTTGTCCTTGCTCTATGCTCTGTCAAAATCTAGAAATTGTAGGGATTTATATTTATATTTGTTCTACTCTGTCAAGTGTCACATACAATGATGGCACTGTATTAAAAATATATTATTCTATTTGTGTTTACTCAGCACTGTGGAATGGCTTATTTAGGTGACGCTGGAATGATCAGAAACCACAAGTGACAGCCTACCAAGAGAAAAGTAATAATCATAAATATGCATGCGTATCACTGAATTTGCCTCCGACTAAAGAATACATATGTTTGCTCTCCAAATTACTCAGCAAAATAGTCAGCCATTTGGGGATTTTGCAAGGTAAGAGAAAAAATATATTGTCCTTTTAAAATAAAATAAAAAGTCCCTAGTGCCCCAAAGCAATAACTTGTTTGAGCCAAAATATAAGAAGAAAGTTTTAGAATGTGACTATAGACCCCGTGCATAG